TCTCAAAATGCCTTGCTCATAACCAAGTTACCTAGACACCATACTGGGTGCATAACCGATGTATCCTATTGATCCAACCGGAAGGACCCAAGGAAAAGTTCCACAATATGCCAAATACGATGCTTAATTCATCCGGATAGCCTTCTATAAGACTTGGGAATTTGATAGGTTAAGTAGCATGGTTCTCCATTCTTGCTCGGTATAGCTCTTCCATAGGGTGATCATGAACTTCTTTAGTAATTCTTGATCCTTCCACCAAACAAAGTTAAAGATGGATATGTATATTTCGATATGACTAATCATCCATATGCACGGTAGTTGCACATAACACCTCGACCCACCTTTACTAGATCTTCGATAGTGATTCAGCGATAAGATAGTCTCGGCTAAAATTACGGTAGTAGGATCTAACCGAGTTCTTTTCTACCTCGATGAAAATATTTACAACATCAAGACCGATCAATCTAGCGAGAGGATGGAAATAAGATCAAACCGAAGATACACAAAGCTAAGACTCAAAATTTCTTCGATCCGGTGATGGGCTCTCTTAAGCTTTGTTTGAAGATGTTTAATAAGATCTCATGGTGCCACCCCTCGGTAGCACCTTTAGCTCTTGCCCGACTCAAACTTACACCCGACCATCTTTCGACCCTATCAATCACTTCATCATGTCGTTGGTAGAGGTAGACTTGATACGAGAGGATTTTGTATTTACGATAGTCGGTGATACTTCTCTAGTGTAGGAGTCATGTCTATGTTTTCCATGATGAAGCATCGATGTGAAAGGTCCCATAGAGAGATGAGAGCCCTCAACATAGGCTTCTAGATCGATATCTCTATTAATACGACTAAGTTTTTATATTTTTGCTTGAACACCCATTTATCACTAACGATCAAGAGTTCCTAACATTCAAGGATTTTATTAGTGTCGTTGATCATCAACTCGTAGTTTGGTTATCGGCGGATGGTCACTCCGAAATCCCTCTTATAGGCAATCTCCCTCCACTCGTTGAAAGGTTTCGGATTCTATTTGAAAAATTTATGCTGGCCTAAAATGTACTTGAGCTCTTTTATCACCCATCCCGAAACATTGTGAACAAATTATTTTAGTCAAGGTTTTCAACATATCCGACTTGCCCAAGTATGTTAAATAGGGGAAGATGGTCCTAAAGTCCGAGTTATAGCCATTACATGAGTGGGTAGGCTCTATCTAGGTCTTAAAAGGGTACCTTCTAGCCTAGTGAGTCTTTAGTAGAGTCACTAGGATTATCCATGGTGACATTAGCAATAGTGAAAAGTCATCGATTACCCATTACCGATGGTAGGCGGCAAGAAGGCTCAAAGTTTCATGAGTGTTTACCCGAGGTGAATGCAAATGATAGTTATAATTAATTAATTATGTAGTGTAATGTGTGAGGGCATGACTCCATATCTAGTCTAAAAAATATAAAGGTTATGAAATTAAACAAACTAAACCAAAGGGCAAGAAAACACAAACAACACACATATGTACAAACATGTTATCACAACATAAAAAAAATTAAATGACTAAATGACAATCACTTATTCACACATAACAAATAAGCATAGAGGCATAGCAAACAACCGGAGATTCACAACATAGACATTGAAAGCTTGACCACTAGCATGACACTAAGGTCCTTAGCGAGTCGTCAATTCTATCATTGGCCCAACACGAGTTGGGAAAAGGGCCGAGATAAGGGAGTCACCACCTAGCTAACTGGAGAGAATTAGAAAACTCTAAATATGCTTGATCTACATGGATATCCGGATAAGGGGTCGGTTATGTATGGGGAAGACGCCACCACCATCTCGTCCTACCTAAGGTAGGCTACATTATTTGTCTATGAATATAAAAATCTAGTTCTTTATTTCGCTATACTTCTATGCCTATTCAAGTGAATTTATTTGATAAAATTATGAGACAAGATGGTTCGGGTGTGAAACAGAGTAGTTCGGGCGTTTAAGCCAATCCAAGGCCAATATACCCTACTCAAATGGGAAAAATGATAGAAAAATTAGAATTTCAACTAATCCTTAGTGAACCCAACCTATTATCGAAAACTATATGAGTTTTTAAAGATAAATAACCTTTTATTAGTATAAAATGCGAGTCATCGACAACTTCACTCACACAAGTGAGAAGCCATCGATGACTTCGAGTCATGGGTCTAAGAAGCTATTGACAACTTCGTCATATAGTTAGAAAGTCAACGACAACTTCATATCGCTTAAGCAAGGAGCAAATGACTATTTTGAGCGATCGCCACTGCTTCATCATATAAGCGGGAAGCTACCGGTCGGTTATTTTCGAACAAGTGAACAATTAAACAAAAAATATTTCAAAGCCTTCCAGCAGCTTTGTCACATAAGTGAGAAGCTATCGATAACTTATTTTCACACGGATAAACAATTAAATAAAAATATTTCTAATCCATCCAACGGCTTCATCACATAAATGAGAAGTTACCGACGGCTTATTCTCAAACAAGAAAACAATTAAACAAAAAATATTTCGAAGCCTTTCGGTGGCTTCGTCATATAAGTGAGAAGCTATCGATGACTTATTTTCACACAGGAAAATAGTTAAACAAAAATATTTCGAAGCCATCCGACTGACTTTGTCATATAAGTAGGAAGCTACCGATGGCTTACTTTCATACATGTAAACGATTAAACAAAAATATTTCAAAGCCTTTTGGTGGCTTCGTCACATAAGTGAGAAGCTACCGGTGACTTCGTTTTGATGCAATCGGGAATAAAAAGACTAGAAATGAAAGGCAAGAACTAATATCAAAACAAGGAAAACATAAAATATAAAAACGGGAAACATATACAAAAACATACAAAATAATTTTGAACACCATCGACCATTTTAAATCCGTATTGCACACCATAATCAATCAATCATCCATCGAAATGCAAACACAAATCATGTTTTGAAAGTACAATAGTTTTAGAATTTTTTACCCAAAGGTCCTGTGATTCCGATATTTGATTTGAAGTTAGTCTTACTCTTTTCGTTTCCAATGATAATCGAAAATTTGATTAGCCAAAAAAGGAGAGTGATTATTTGTCGATAATGTGCGGATCCTACTAGAACGACTAAAATCTCTTCTGAAATATGTTTTCTGTCAAGACAAATTAAACAAAACAGCAACAAAACCAAAGCAAAAGGTCTCTTTTTTTATTTTGATTTTTTTCTATTTTCTCTTTCTTTCCTTTTTTTTTTTTTTTTTTTTTTTTTTGATTTTGTGGCAGTGTTTTAGACTGGGTTTAGAAGGGACTGTGGTGGTGCGTTTCAGATGTCAGTATCGGGCTGGAGTGAGGCTATTTGTATCGTGTTTCAGGGCTGGGGATGCTGATTTCAGGGCTGGAGTTGAGGCTATAATGGCGTGTTTCAGGCCTGCAAAGGGGGTTATTTTGGGATGAGTTTCAGATCTGGAATGGGGCTATTATGCGTGAGGGAGAGGCTGGCGTGAGCGAGGGGCTGGCAGTGTGTGTGTATAGAGGGCTGGCTGGCATTACAGCTACAGGTAAAAGGCGTGGCAGGCTGGCGAGAGGTGTGGCTGGCCTGCAAGCAGTAGGCTGTGGGGCGTGGAGTGTGGCGTGTGAGGCTAGTGCTACGTGTGGAGGTGAGGGAGCTGCGAGGCAAAGGTGTGGTGTGAGGCTAGAAGGGTTGCGGGCTGTGGGGCTGTGGTGTGAGAGAGAGAGGCTGGCAAGTAGATGTGGTAAGTGAGAGAGGCTTGGTGGCTGGCGATGGAAGAAGCGGAGCTTGCAAGTGAAGAGGGCCTGGCAGGTTGATGTGGTAGGCGAGAGGGAGGAGGCTGCTGGCTGGTGTGTTTAGCGTGAGGTAGAGACAAGAATGGGCGAGAGAGAAACTAGTGTGGGCAGGAGATAAAATTTCAGCCAGCTGGGTGTGTTTTTAGGTGGTAATGAACAGTATGTGTGATAAAAAAAAAATGCATGGGACTTTATATGGGTAGGGTTTTTTATGGCAAAAATCCTACTTGGTCCTTGGTTTTTCACAATCTCTCAATTTAGGCTCAACTTTGGTTTTTTTTTTTTTTGTTTTATTTGAAACCCTTTATTGCAAACAATTGAGACTTTTTACTTTAATTGGTTCAATTAAACCCTCAATTGTCTCTTTTTTTATTTCCAAAACTTTTCATTTATATTGTTTTTCAATTCCCCCCCCCCCCAAACTAACTATCCTAATTGCTTCTTTCTCTTTTTTTCTCTTTTTCCTTTTTCTATTTTTTATATTCTGCAATTTTGTTTCGTTCTATTATTATTTTTGGTATTTTCCTAATAATAAATAATTAAATAGGTAAAAATACATAAATAAATAAAAAGCAAAAATTAGGTGCTAACATAGAATATATACAAATTTATGTAAATGATGGTAAATTTAAAAATATTTATTTTGACCCAGTAGATATTTGGTCTTGTATTCGCCATACAATCACTGCAATTCTTTTGGTTAATAAATACGTTCATTAATCACGCTATTGATGACAATTGTTTCGCTATCTGGAAAACAAAGAGTTTGTATTTCCCATAAGAAGAAGAAGTTATTTTGAGATCATCGAAGTCATTTTATTAACAGCAAGACTACTGCTAACAGAACACAAGATATCAAATTGCTACTGACTTTCCCACTTCTACAACCATCTAAAATGCTGAAAAGAAGCATAAATAGCACAAAAGCATGTAGCTTTAGAAATTAGAAGTAGAAATCCTCAGCAGCAGAAATAGCAGATTCTGGCAGTAGCTAGCATAGTGTATTTGTAATCAAGCAGCAGAGCACCTGCAGTAGATTAAAGACAGCGTATTGGCCAATGTCGTTGCATCCATAAAAGTTAATACCACATCATAATCTATAACAACAGCAAACACAAAAGAGCTTGGTATTGAGGCAAATAATTATTTTAGAATCAAGATGACTCCTTACCAGGAAATGCAGAGTAGTGCACATGTTATGGTAGGAAACATTTGCAACAAAATCTGACCAAACGATCATATATGCTGAAAGAAATCTGGTTGGTTCCTTCAGAATGCAGTTTCTCAGCCAAGTTACCACTTCCTTTAGCTTCTGCCTCTTCGTTCTGCTTAATTTGCTTTGTCATTATAGCATTCCCTGCTAAACCATCAATACCTGGTTGCGAGTAAGTTTTTGCATCTGAATTACCATTCTCACTCTGTATTGCTTCATCTTTTGCGATCTTGTGCTTGGTCTTGATACCATTTCCTGTTGATGTGCTCTCGTCTTTAACTTGGTAAGCAGGGGGCTTGACATCCAAGTTGCCGCTTTCAATCTGATTTTCAGTGTCATTTTCAACAAAAATACCCTTACTCGCTGCTCCATTAGTGTTGTATACTCGTTTGGAGCCTGGTTTCTCATCAGAGCTAGAACTTCCAAATTGTTTTGCTCTGCCACTGCTCTCATGAATAATTGATGTAGTTGCAGTGTGGGTGCTGTCGTCAATTTGTTTAAAGTGTGGTTTCTCATTGATGTTTCCTTTTTCCATCTTTGTTGCCTTTTCGTTGCCTTCAAGTATTGATTCATCTCCTCCAGATTGGTCATCATCATCTCCTATTTTCTAATAATTTATAAGAAGACATTAGTTCAAGGAATAATGTATTGGTTTAGTATAAACGATTTATCTAAAGGTAATATGCATTATTCAAATTACTTGCCTTCAATACGATCCCTCTTCGACTTAGAGGGTTTTCCAGAAGATCATCCTTGATGACCTTGAAACTTTGAGTCAGAAACTTGAATGCAAGTTTAGTTAGCAAGCCATCATTGAATAGTGATCCCAAGATTCTTATGGCATGGACATTCATCTCCTTGAGTGAAAATGAAGTAGCTAAGAACAACACAACATCTAAACATATTTTCCTCTCCCTACCCATCTGTCGGTCAAAACTTATATTGATTAAATTAATCTGCTGAGTACTTTCGTCTGGATCTGTAGTTGAAACAATGATTCTACTTCCTGGACCAAACAAATCAGCTTTTATAGCCAAATCTACTAAATGCTCTTGTTTATTCACTTCATCAACAATTAAAAGTACTTTTTTATGTTGCAGCTTTTTCCTTATTTCATTGATTTCACTTGAAGGATCCAATATCCTTGTACTCCATTCCAATGGAAATTCAGATGAAACTTTACATTTCTCAGAAACAACTGCATCGTAAACAGCTCTAGCAAATGTTGTGTTGCCCATTCCAGCAATCCCACATATCCATACAATCTGAATATCATCCCATTCTTGGTATATGAAGAAGGAATTAAAACACAATGGAACCAGCTGCTTACTGGTACCCGGGCATGTAGGGTTCAACTTATCGAGTATCTGCTTAACAACCAGCATTACCAATTCTGCTTCAGAATCTGCCAGACAAAGAAAAAGGATTGGTTTAATTAAAATAGTTTTGGCCCTTAAACTTTTGAAATTTAATAAAATAAACCTTTAAAAAAAAAATTCAATCTACTTTTCTCTAATCCATTTTCATATCTAATAAAATTAAACCAAGTTTTTAAAGTAATTTTATATGTCGTTATTCATCTTAAATTAATTTTTTTTAATTTAATTATATATTAACATATTACTAAAAATGATTTATTTAATTTGACCTCTAGAATTTCAAATCTCGACCCCATGCTAACCTAAAAAGGATGCATTAATTCAGGTCGATGGAGAAATTTTATAATACATAAGTAATAACTAGTGACATGTACGGTATTATCTAATGGATCTATTTTGAAGAGAAAGATAGACACAAAAAAATAGAGAGAAACAGGAGAGAGAAATTAAAAAAAAATTTGAGAGAATGTGAAAATCTTCTTATCACTTTAGATGGATCCGAATGTAATTCAATGTGTTTATCTTTTTCTTCAAAGTAGATTGATGAAGGAACTATTGTATATATCATTAGTTATTTCTTGTGTGTTATAAAATTTTTCGAGTCAATGTATCATATATATATATATATTAGAGTTTTGTTTGAAATGTTTTTATTGAAATAATTTTTTGTTATAATATTATAACTTTAATATTCAAATAGTAACGAATTTGAATTTTATTATTTTTAATTTTAAAAGTTTTAGGTTTGTGTAAATTTTAAATTTGAAAAGTTTTTATTGTAAGAAATATACAAAAGAGTTAGTATAAAACTATTTTTAAAATTTCATCTAAAAACTGAATTTTTGGATTGAAATCAATTTTTTACCGTAAATAAATAAATACATGTCATTAAGAATCCTTCCTCTATTTTAGTAGTAGTTGACCTTTTCTAACCCTTCACCCACCTTAAAGACTTCGAATCTCCCAACATGCTCAAGAACCGAGAGACATCTAGTGGTAGCTTGCATATAGAAAGATGAAAAGACCGGTCAAAAAACAAAAATAAAAAAACAAAAAACAAAAGACAAAAACAAAACTACTGCTATATGAAAAAATTATAAATTAGTCTTTTTTAGTTTGAAAAATAATTAATTAGACCTTCTTGTTTTAAAAAAATAATTATTTATTCTTTATATATATATATATTTTTTTTGATAACTTAACCCTTTTTGCTTTTTGATGTATGACTAAATAATTAATTTTTAAAACAAAGAGAATTAATTAATTCATTTCTAAAAGGATGGAGGCTCTAATTTATAATTTACTCATCTTATTTTACTACTTCAAAATACATTACAGATAGAGTTTTTTGTCTTCTTGTGCTTAGGAAAAATTAAGGATCTTTTCATAAAAAAAATATTAATTCCTGTTTTTTCTAAAGCAAGTATTTTAGGAAAAATTTTATATATATATATATATATATATATATATATATATATATATATATATATATATATATATTATTTCTCTCTCTCATATAAATTTAGGATCTTTTCATAAAAAAAAAAAAAAATTAATCGATCCCATCTTCATGTGAAAAAAAAATAAAATTGTGATGGTATGTTAATTCCATGCTTTTAGTACATATTTCTCATTCAAAAACTAAAACTAGTTCAAAAGCAGCAAAAACCCAAATTAAACCAAAGAACTAAGATATGCAGCATCAACGAAAGACCGTTTAAGTCCCCAGGACACATCAATCGGTAGTTAAAACCTAAGGATTTCTACTTGGAAATTAATCTTAGATTCAATCCACCTAAAATAAATGGATTGCCTTTAGGGTTGGGGAGGTCAAACTTGTATATCAATTTGAAGGGAAAACAGGAAAAAAAGGAGAAGAAAGAGCAGTATTGATTACTTACAGTTTCTTGCAGACCACCCGGCTATTCCAGCTACTTCTCTAAGAGCGTCCCTCCAGCTCTGGACCATCTTCTTGCTGTAATTTTTCTCATGATCATCAAATGCCTGCTTATAGTCACCAGTTTGATTCTCTACGTCAGTTGCTTTAACATGATAGAAAATGGGGAAAACAGTATGTCCCTTTTTTTATACATCGAACCATCTTTACAAGTTCTTCCAAGCAAAACTTGGACGAAGCATAATTTTTTGAAAATATGACGATTGAAAACCTTGACTCTTCTATAGCTTTTAAAAGTTCTATGTCAATGTACTTTCCTTTTTCAAGATTTTCATCATCTTTATATGCCTTAATATCGTTCGTAACTAGAGCAAAATATAGACGTTTGCAGAGCTTAAGACGAGCGTCTTTACCACTAAAGCTAAGAAAAACATCATGACTCCATGTAGCTCGTTTAAAAGAGAAATAAGAAGCAAAGGGAAGAAATGAAAGCACTCCTATCATCTCACTCAAAACCATCTATTACAGAATGAATCCTAGCTAGCTAGTAATAAATTTTTGGTGCCGGAGAAAAGTAGAAGTGAAACTTCAAATTTTGAAGCAATTGCATTAATTTCAGCGTAGACTGCTCTTACTTACATATAGTACTTCAAGTATTACCTAAAACAACCATGGTCTCCTCCCTCAAATGGGTCTCCTCTGCCATCTCTCTCTCTCTCTCTCTCTACAAAAAGAGAAACTTCCTCGATTCTAGTAGGTACATGTCTTTCTCCTAATACATATTTTACATTTGATTTTTATGGGTTTTTTAGATCCCTCTTAATGTTGTAATTTAGGTGTGTTTAATTTGTTACCATTTATATATATATAATTAATTGTTAATAAATATGTTAGAAAACTTGAATTTATATTATTTAAAATTTAATTGAGTATTTTTTTTATTGAAATAGTTTTGAATTAATTAAGTTTGGTTGTTGATAAATTAGAATAAAATTTTGAGTTTGTAATTTGTTAAACAATGATTAAAAATAAAAGTGGAGTCATGTGATAATTCAGTTATTGAAAAGAAAATAAGATGTTAAAATTTTAAAATTAAAGTGTTATTTTAAAAAAATTGATATAATATAAAATTATTTGAACTTAGGATTTTAAAATTGATTAATTATTTTTTTCTCAATTTCTTTAATATGGATAAATAATTAGTTATTATATGAATTATGATATTAATTGTTCATATATAAATTTATTCCAACTAGTCATTATGTTACAGTAAGCACTACCAATTTGTAGCATTGTCGGCAATCACTCCAATAACTTTCCAACCTCTCCTACTTGCCAGGTAAGTTATCAAAATCCCGCATTATAATTTATGTTGAAGAATAATTTTAATTTAATTATGACAATTGAAATTGAATTTATTTTCCCGATAATTATTGAAATGTGTCGAGATATGTCATAATGTATCAAACTTGAGAGGTTAGAGACCCTCGGGAATTAAGGAGAAAAAAAGTAATGCGAATGCTCTGCAATAGAAATAGGAGGACATAAATTGAGTTTTAATTTGAATAGATTATCCGAGACAAGTATCTATCTCATTGTACATAAATTGATTGATTTGATTGCTTGATTGTGATTGAGTAAATGCATCTAATTATGCTTGTTTGTCCGGTCAATTAGTAGATTGATTGATGATTGATATTTATGTGATGATGATTAATTGAAAATGTTATCTTCACGAGTTATGTCAATGTTTTCTTGTTTGTCGTTTTGATTAAAAATCAAGATACCAAAAATCATATCCGTCCGACCCTAATTCAAATCGTTTTTTTTTTCTCATTTTTGTCTATAATGCATGCATGTTTGTTTTTCTAATTGAAATCATGAAGCTTGAAATCATGTTGGTCCGAGCCGTTATTTAGATTGTTTTCATCGGTTTTGCCTATTATGCCTCTATGATGCATATAGGGGTGATCATTCGCTTAAACGGTTTGGTTATGCATAATTCGATTCGGTTTTCGATTAACCAAATTAAGAAAAATGAAAAATGAAATCAAATGAAAATTAATTTAGTTAATTTGATTTGAAACCAAATTATTTCGGTTCGGTTTCAAAATAATTCAGTTTAATCAAATTTTTTTGCTATAAAAAAAAAAAAAGAAGAAGATTTAATTGGATTCATTTCAACTTTACCAACCCAATATCCCAAATCAACCATCCACTAGGATCCACCTCATAATAGGTTCCAATGGAGCAAATATAGAAGCATACAAAAGGAGAAGAAAAGTAAATGCATAAGGAATTAAAAAAGGAATGACAAAAACCAAAAAGATTGACAAAAGAAGTATTATTGAATAATTAGTATAAATGCAATTTTATTAATTACAATCTCAAAATTTGTTCAATTTCAATAGAAAATAACCTCAAATGACAGGAACAAGAACAGAGAAATTATGTAAAATGGGAGAGCAACACAAGGCCATTGCATCATCCTTGCAAAAAAGAGAAACACATAACCCATATTCTAAACAAAATGGAATTATAGCCTAAAAAAATGAAAATTTTTAGATGAATCTAATTGAGCTGGACCTTTACGGAAAATACCTCCACAAGAATTTAACCTTCATGAAGTCCTCCGTAATAATCTCAAAAGCAAAATAAACCTATCCACATTCCCGAATGAACCCATGAGACATCAAGCTCCTCTCCATCATGCTCTATTGAACATGATGTGTTTAATCGACCATCCGCTTGAACAAACCTATCCACGTTCCCGTTCTCGACTTCCCATATTGGCCATGAATTTGTACCATTGGATCCAAGGTCTTATGATGGCTTAGATCCAAATTTACGTGGGAGTAAGCTACTTTGTAATTGCTATAGCATCTTCTCTCGAAAAAACATTAGCAGATAGCTGAAAGCCTACAAAGGACAAAGGATCATTGATATAAGGTGACATCCCTTGCATTGCGGATGTTGCCTCAAGCGACGAGGAGTAGAGAGAAAGTGAAAACAGAGTATTGGGTTTTGCTTTATCCGAGTTAATAATAGTCGACTTTCCTAGATGAGAACAAAGTATGAGAAGAAGAAGGGAAAATATAGAATATGAAAGGAAAAGAAGGTAAAAATAGAGGCTTAGCGTAAGTGAAAAGGAAAAGAGTGGAAGATTGAAGAGAGAAGAAGAATTGGAGAGACTTGTGAGTTTGTGACTGCGTCTTGCTTTGTGTGTTTTAGCTTTAGGCAAGAATGAAGATTGCCTAACTTAGGGTTAGGAATTTAGAAATTAGGATTATTTTTCACTTTGTATTTCAGTTTTCGATCAAAATTGAATTTTTTTCAAAAACCAAATTGAATAAAAATAATTTTGGTTCTTCATTTCAGTTTTAATTGTATAATTTTATATTAAAACATAACCAAATTTCATAATTCGGTTCAATTTTATTCAATTTTTGGTTAATCGAACCGTTTGCTCATCCCTAGATATATGTATTGTGTATCTTAGATGAGTAGTTTTTTGTATAGATAAAGTCTCTAATAATTAGAAAATTTCCAATTCACGAGGTAGCACTACAAAAAAAAGGTATTACAAAATAATCTATGGCTAATTGATGATCTTTTGTTGCTAAAAGTGTTTAGCGATGGTACATCGTTCGTTTGTAATTTTTTTTCTATGATGAAAACTCCATTCCATCACAAATTTAGTGACGAAATTTTCATCACTAATCCGAAAAAATCTATTGTTAATCTTTTCATGGGATTTGTCATTTCTTTCATAGTTACACCATCGTTGCTTTCGTCACTAAACAACAATTGAATATTCATCGCTAATATTTCATTACTAAATATAAAAATGAATTTATTGCTATTCCATCGCTATTTTTGTTTTTTGCATAAAAATAAAAAAAAATTGATAATTTTTTATTATTTTAAATTATTAATATTACATTTAATAATTAATATTATATTTACTAATTAAAAATTAGAAGTAATAAAATATATATATTAAAAATAAAATAATATTATCAATACCATTCTAGAGTACATTTCATAAAAGAAAAAAAAAACACGAAGTGATTAAATGCCTTATCACTCATCCTCGCTCGTCTAATCCAATATCTTCCTCTTCATTCTGTATGGAGGGCTCGATGGGAGGATCCGCTCGAAGGTGAATGGGAGGCCGAGTGGAAGGAATGATAGGGCCGTTGAATGGCCAACGATTTATAGGCACCCTAGTTGTTTGTGCCGACCGAGCACTAAGGATGCCATCGAGTCGTACTCGGGATTTTGGACTATAAATAGTCCGATGCTCCTTTGAGATCTATCTTTGCTACTTTGAGATCTAGCTTTGGAGCTCATTTTGTATCACTTATATCACCTTTATTGCTTTATTTGTAGCCTCGTAGTCCCTCCGAAGCTATTCATTAGTCGGGTCGATGGCGTAATGTGATGTCACGAGAGGAGGAGCCGTTGCCACTCGATTGGAACGAGATAATGCACCAACCGTATGCTCGCCTATACCATAAAACCTTTTCTTTTTTCTCCTTGACAACCTCGAGGTATATGGCATTCGGTCAACTTCTAGCTCCATGATTCCTATCGTCATTTGAGCCGTAACTCGCCTTATCGATGAGTCTGCTCCACACAATCCCGCATAATCAAAATAATGATATCATCATTATAGGATTAAAATAAATTTTATATTATCTTTTCATATTTAATATTTAAAATTAAAAAACACTTACCATTGTTTGTCGGGAGAGCGGATCGACGAATGAACCATCTCGTAGCTTGTGTGTTATCCGAAACTCCTTAAAACTTGTAGGTCGACAATCGAATTTTACCTCTTGAAAAAAAAATCCATTACGGACAATATAAGAAGAACATTGAAATGTTCCGAAATAAGTAAATAATAATAAAGAGTGTGTAATTTGCCAAACGACGGGTGTGCTTTTCCGCAAATATAGAGCCCCATGTATGCTTGAAATGACCTATACCGGGACCACTCGGTCTTCGACAACCTCGTTCCACAATGCTTGCTTTGAATGAGCCACACAATCGGGTCTCCGAAATATAGTCGCTATGCATCCTAGACCTACTAACTAATATAAACAGATTGGTTGTTCATACTCGCACTTATAGATGAAGTCAACTTAGCGTTTCTTAGCCACACCCTCCCATGCCGCTCTAAAAAGTATCTCGATAGCCACATCCCATTCAAAATATTTTTGGATGAAAAAAATTAATATTAACAACTTTATTTGATGAAATTTTTTTATTTTAATTATAAAGAAAACTGATAATATGTTACTCGAAATTCACTAAAGTAGAAGTCTTTAGTAACGTCGATGACATACTTTCGGTATGATCCACTCTTGCCTACTCATTCCTTAAAAATCACAAAGATCTACATAGCATAATGTTTATTAGGTGAAGTTAAACTATTGAACAATAAAATGATAAAAAAAATATTAAAAATAACACAAAAATTATTGTAATTATATATTTAAAGTAAAAAAAAATTA